ATTATATACCGAATGAGTATAAGGATCGAAAACCAACGAGTTTAGTTCAATTATCAATTCTAGATTAAGAACCAAATAACCGAATAAGAGTCGAATCTCCCCAATTTTTTTATTAATTTATTTTAAATAAGCTTAACTATTTTATTTTTTCTAAATAAATTTGCAATATAACTAATTTAGCTCAAACCCAAAAAAAAATTAATTAATATGATTTTTCTTAATTCTAATTTTCAATTTAAACCCAACTTAATCAAACTGGCTTAAATTTATTCAAATCTATTATTCTACCATAGTGTTATTTCTATTGTTTTGAAAAAATCGAATTGAAACTCAACAACACCTCTCTTGATTATTGTGAGCTCATTATCTTCCTTTTCCTGCTACTTTAACAATCAAATCGATAAAGAACTCAAAAAAATAATAATAAAATAAAATAAAATAAAATCCAAAAGGCACATAGATTGAACTACGTTTGTAAAAGCTAAGATTAAAAATATCATTAATTGAATTAATGTAAATTTATAAAAATTAAAACATTTAATTACAGTATGAAACCCAAAAACCAGAGGGAACCAAATCGAATCGAACTCAAACGATTCCATAATTAAATTTATAACTAACGATTCCACTTACTAAAACCCTAAAATTTCAAGGCCGATTCGATTCTCGTTAGAATCAAACCGAACCGAACTGATGCCCAGCCTTAATGAGAATCTTAGAAATCAAAAATAAATAAAATAGAAAAACTCTGAATTCTGAATTAAAACATATATCTGAGTGGTGAGTTTACAATCATAATAAAGAAAATAGTTGTGCATTCCAGAACTTCCAGAACCCAAGCTTTAATTTATAAGGATATCTCAGACAAATAAAACAAAAACATAAAAACCGTTTAATATAACTTCAAATCTTGTTTACGAGACACAGGTTCAATCTGTTTCATTCTCAATACAATACACCATATGCCAAACTTCTCCACCATCTTCTATTATTTATTATTGTCAAGACAATGAATACGGAATCAACTTTAAACTGCAAACCAGTCTACGACAAGGAAAATAGATGTGAACCACTCTCCATCCACCACTGCCCAAATAGGATCCACTATTTCTTTTGTCGTTGACGTATTCAAGATATTGTTCAATCCAAACAAATCAGTAATAGAACATTTGTAATTAGTAGCATTTCCAGAAATTCAACAAATTTCTTGTCAGCAATTTGTTAGTGAAAAGATATCAAGATTCCTCTCCAGGAACTAATGCCTTTCTTTCTTTTCTATTTCATCATCCAGCGAGGGAAAAACAGTTGCACAATGTACCATTCATAATGATGTCAAAATCGTGAGAACAGCTTTTCTTATAGCACCAGCATGAAAAATATGGTCGAGAATGCTAAAAGAACTGAATACATGATCATCAACAAATACACGAGACAGATTATATTGATACCCAGAAAGAAACTGGTAAGATAATAGAATCGATAAACCGAACTAACGCAAACATTCCATTAACAGAAGCCAATGAAATAACATCCCATCAACTGAAGCCATGGAAATAATCTCTCACCTGCATCTACCAAAGTTTCAAGATTTGGAATTAGAATATAAAGCAAGAGATGCCCAAACATCAAGCCCCTTTTTCCAATAATTGTGTTATTTCTTGATTATGAAAGATTTACTCTCACGTGCAAGGAAAAATTGCAAGCAACACAATCTTCTCCAATGAAGTATTATAACTCCAGGTGTCATGAAGCTTGTGTCATCGCCACTCAATACCCAGAGCATCACAGTTTTTCATGACTTGAGACTCTGAGATGAGACCAAGTGGAAGATCACTAATATAATGGTCGCCGCTGAATACAGACTGGTTCTTGCCAGATCAATGTCATTATCACACACAAAACTCCCCCTTCCCCCCATGTCTTCTACCCCAACACGAAAAGGAAAAATGTACTAATAACAATGAAACCATCAAGCCCAACAACTGTTACAAAAATAAATTAAAATACAGAGAAATCAAGCACCCATCATGATTTGTTTTCTTTCATCTTCTGTGGGAGAGGAGAGAGGAGTGGTTCCTTCAAACAATCTCCGTCAAAGGAATTTACAATCCAGGTATAAGAGTGTAACATATATAAGGTATAAAAGGAACATCTATCAGTACAGTACTTGCCTCTTACTCTTCCAGAATTCAAGACTTCGTGTTTCATAGGGAAATAGGTGTTAATGGAGGAGAAGCCACTTTTTCAGTCTTGATCTCAATTTGGGAAGAATCCAATAGCGTGCCCGCATGTAAAGCTAATGCTCTTTGACTAATAGAGGGTATGGATAAACTTCGAGGAACAGTTAGTTGAGGAAGCGGAAGAGAAGGCCCTTCTTTTGATGGCCGCAAAGTATTCCTATTTGTTGGAGATGCTTCTCGATTTCTATTGACCAGAGGAGCAGAGTGCCCAACAGCACCAGAAGAAAACAGAGGCTTGGAGCCTAACGAATCAGGGGGCCTAGGGAGCTCATGAAGCTCACTTATTTTGGAAGAAGCTACAAGAGAAGCACCATGGGATACATTCATTGATAATGACTGGGAAACATGTACATGAGAAAGTGACCCAGAAACGGCTCGAGGAAGTTCAGTAGAGCCAATGGGTCCACTCGTAGATAATATGGGCTTGTCTGATGATGATTTACTTGCCAATGGACTGGAGAATGCATGTCTTTCAATTTTCCAAGGATTAGATCCACTTTGTATGTCAGGTTTTGGGGTTGCAACACCCTCAGTCAGAGGACGGGGCAGTGGTAGAGAGTGCCTGTTGTTGGTTTTCTCTTCAACTGCTATTTCGGATTTTGGGAATTTATGTGCATACAAATTATCATCCGCGAATTTTCTGCGTTTCTCTGCATCGAGTGGCGATGAATTCCACGGACTTTTGTAGCTCCCACTAGAGCTTGCGGTGTTTGACAGGAGGGTAAAACTGCTTGTCATTGAACTCACTGCATCAGCAGGAGTGGGTAGCACATGTGTATTAAGTTTTGGCACAGTTATCTGCATTTCTCTGATTCTTTCAGCAGGATCAAATTTCTCCGCAAATATTGGAGCAGAATGACTGCCTCCTCGAGGTTGCTGACTGGAAATTTGCTCCTCTTGGTGTTTACCATGATTTATCTGCAAAAACCATATTATAGGACCTATTACATAAGTTTTAATGGCCAGAAGACGACCACCTACATTCACAGTTAAAAGAACATCAAGTGTTGACAATTGAAATGGAAATGACATACTCATAAGTGCCCTAATTCTCCCCATCTAAAGGGTTATTGGAATCTAGAGCACAAGTTAGAGTGCAAAGACAAGGTTCAAATAAAATTGCATCTCTTGATCAAATGCATGAAATTCTTCATAGAAAATTAGTGTTTTCACACGAAAAAAATTTAAACATTTTGACGAATTATTGCTTCATGATGCAACTTAGATGATATAGTTTGGACATTTTAGTTGGGCTTCCTTTATATCAAGTTGATGACTTGCCTATTTGGACTTTACTCTGTTTGAGACAAGATTTTTCCCCAAAACCGTTCACATAATTTCATTTTGGTGTCTTTTCTTAATATATCAGTAGATTATTTTACTCAAAATTATTTCTTCCATTGCATAAGCATATGTCAATAGCATTACATGCATCTCCAGGTGTCAAAGCTTATCTACCATTTTTTAGATGAATGTCCCTTATATTTCCATTTTCAATCACTCAGTAATTACTTGCCAAGGCATGGCTACAACAAAAGAGAAAAACGTTTTCCTAGATCCTGGGTTAAGAAGAAACATAGAAAAATAATTTCTAGGACAGGTTCTTTTAAAATTTATCGTTGTCAAGTTAAAGTGTTCCTTGCAATATCCCTAATGTGGGAAATCATAATGTACAACACCATAGTTCTCTAGTTATATTAAATTCTTAATCCAAATGAGTTGGCACCCAAAAAACAATCAACTTAACTTGTAGTTAAAAAGAGTACATATAAACATAGAACTTAAGCTTCTCCTAGAACTAAAAATTAATAATGCAAGTGGAATAACAAGTTCCAAAACTTTAATAAATGAACTAGAAAAAGTTGTGACAGTTTGAAGGTAAATGATTAGCAAGAAATCTCACCTCCATTGAGTTCCTTGAAATGGAAGCATGGTCAACCTCCTGCTGATTTTGTCTATAGTCAAAACTTAATTCTCCAACATCATTAGCCTCAAATCTTTTCATTTCATCTTCACCATATTCACCATCATCCAATCCACGTAGTTCATAATCAATATGTTGCTTATCTGCAACACTTTTAATATGCTGTTCAACTGCTTCAAGAGATTGCAGTCCTTTCCGGAAAAAAATTAACTGCTTATGAAAAGTAGATAAAGAATATAAAGATAAATGCACATTTCGCATGTAAAGAATTTGAAGAAGATTAAACTTGAAGTCATAACAATACAAGAACACCTGTGCTGCATGGTGACGTGCTCCCTGTGTTAATAAACTCTGGCATTGTCCTTGTTTCAAGGATTCTACACGAAAAATGCAAAGCCTTGCAGCCTCATCATATTCTTCACGAACTGTCTGCAATTGCATTGAGGTAAAAGTCTCTCCCTTTCCATGTTTTGGCCTTCCCTTGTCTTTATATTGTCCCACCATGTATTCAAACATTTCTCTGATAGCATGCAAGCAATCAATCAATGCAACACAGGAAAAAATATTCCATGGATAAATATGGTTAAAAATGTGTACCTTTTCTCATCGCACTGCAATTTCATCTCCTGCACCAGTGAAAAGGAGAATATCATTGAAGTGTGCCCCGCAAACAAAAGCATCAGTAAACAGGAAAAATTCACGAATTAGAATGTGGAACACATACTATATCAATGCAATAACAAACTACCAGCTCATGAAGGTGTTCAAAGCAACCTCAGAGATACCAATTTGCAGGTGGATGGGAGGATTTCTTCTTTCTTCTTATTATGGGGAGGGAGGGAGGGGGGGAGAGAGAGAGATTGCAGATGTTTATCAGAGTTAACTTTTTATTGCTCAAAAAAATGTTCGATTTTTCTCGACCACATTCAGTGAGTCATGTCATATGCGGCACAGTCAGCGAGTAATATCATATGCAGCACTTTCTAGTATCTTTAAACAGTTTCATCAGCTCCTTGAGTACCATATCAACTGTTTAGTTGCAACAAGCCGAGAGAGAGAGATTGCAGATGTTTATCAGAGTTAACTTTTTATTGCTCAAAAAAATGTTCGATTTTTCTCGACCACATTCAGTGAGTCATGTCATATGCGGCACAGTCAGCGAGTAGTATCATATGCAGCACTTTCTAGTATCTTTAAACAGTTTCATCAGCTCCTTGAGTACCATATCAACTGTTTAGTTGCAACAAGCCCCATTTATATATTCTCATATTGTGCCAATAATCAAATCACAACAAGCTTTCTATTTAAGAAAACATTATTGTCGACCATCAAAATTGTGCCAGTTATCAAAGATTTAGAGAAAGCTATTTATGTTGGCAGAATCCTCTCAGCGTGTTAATAAGATATAGAAATAAGGGTTCAGATACAGATCTTTACAAGATCAGATTGAATATAGTATATGGTGAACAAACCTCCACTTTCCGTAGCTCGCTTAGAAGAGACTCTGATGGGGTTGTAATGGTCTTGATAATATGAGACCGCTGTAATATAAAAATAGGAAGTTATAATCGTGATCTTGAATAAATCGGGAATTCATAAACATTGGCACAGCAATAAACACGCACATAGTTATCAGCAAGTTTCCGCAGTTCAAGCTGAACCCTTCCCAGCATTGCTAATGCTCTGCCTGCAAAAACATAGAAGTCAAGGGCATTTTATTTTGCTTTCCAACTTTAGCAATAGAAGGATAGTTCAAGCAGTTTTGATGGAATTAAAGAGCTAATAAGCTCAGACAGGAGCTTCAAGCAATGGGGAAAAATGAAGATGCGGAGCAGAAGAGGAAGTAAGCTGAAGAATAAAGTGAATCGAAGATATTACAAGCATATAAAATAAAATCTTTTAGAGTTACCAAGATGGCATAATTTTTATTTGAAAAGACTTATAACTCAAGCTGAAGTTGCTGATTCTACAAAGATGCCCAGTATCTTTCCCTAAAAAGTGATACTAAGCCCCTGTTGAACCCATTTTCTAAAACTCATTTTTCCAAAAACTCATTTTCAACCACACTTTTCATGGAATTCACAACTTTTCAACCACACATTTTGTTAGATTTAATCATAATCTACTAAAAAACTTATTTTTAGCTAAACCAAACAGGGGCTAAGTATTTTTACATAAATTTAATCATACATTTGACTATAAACAGAGAGGAATTAGGGAGAAATTTAGCAATTCCAAAGGTTGGAAATGAGACAAGAAACTTTTCGGAATCAAGTTTTGAGAATCCCTTGGCTTACCGCTTTCTCCACCATCATTTATAGCCATTTTCTCCAGCAGACAATTCCCCATCTCCAATAATGACTCCGAAAACTCTGAAAGGATAAGTATCAAATC